CTGGTGCCTGATCTGTATTCGATCCTATGATTCCCTCTTCTCCCTATTCTACCCCCACCCCCTCAACTTCCTGTTCCCCCATGACCAACTCTCTTCCTCTTCACCCCCTCTCTTCTTCCCAGGTCTCACTCCCTCCCACCCCTTGCCGTGTTCCCCATCCATTCAGGGGATCTTGTCTCCATCCTCTTCTCTTGGGTACTATGCATATATGCCTATCTTTTAGGTTCTTTCCTGTTTCCCAGACTCTCTATCAGTGGAAGTGCAGACTGGCACTATCCTGATCTGTGTCTAAAATCCATATATGAGTGAGTACATACCATGTTTGTCTTTTTGCGACTGGGTTACCTTACTCAGGATGGTTTCTTCCAGTGCTATCCATTTCCCTGCGAATTTCAAGATTCCATTGTTTTTTTCTGCTGAGTAATACTCCATTGTGTAAATGTACCACATTTTCTCTATCCACTCTTCAGTTGAGGGGCTGTCTTTTGATGGAAACTATTTAAAACTTGCTCCATCTCCACTCCAGTCAGTATGAAAGAGGCGGGATTCTAAAAGCAAAAACCTAAAGCCAGGCTTAAGGAGAGGTCAAAAGGTCCGCTTTCTTTTCATTAGGGCTTTGGGCCGGGCACAGAAAGGAGTCTTGGAGACACTGTGATTCAGCTGAGCTCACTAGCCCTCTGCTTTAGTACCAGGGGCCTGCTGTGAAGAATGTGTGTGCGGGCCAACTTTGCTCTGGTCCTGAGAAATCAAAGGACTGACTGCTTTTCAAGGACTGGGAGGTCTCAACAAAGCTTTCTTCCCACTGACTTATTAAGAAATCAGATATCGTTTTCCTTTGGAAATGCACTCTAATATTTGAAGTGTTTTTGCTGCTCTTTTAGATGTGGATCCCCACATTCGCACACACCCCCATTCTAGGGAGGGTGGTTGGATGTTCTCTTAGCATCATGGTCGAGACCAGGCTATGCCCAACTCTGTTACTCCACATTTCACAAAGCAGTGTTTTATCAGGCTGTGCCTTGCCTTAGGAAACTCCATTTTCTAAGCAGTTTTGACTGCATTTTCAGAGAGAAGGATGACTTAAAGTTCCTGGTTTCACCATTTGTGCAGCACACAATGATAACTGATTTATTCCTGAGAAAACGAAGGCTCCTTAGACACTAATTGGTGAGAACTGAGACTGTAGGGGCACATGAGTAAAATCAGAGAAACCAGAGCCAAGAACTTATCAGGTACCCAGACCAAGGAAATGATGTAGCACCCTTGCCAGGATGCTAGAAAATAATGGACACCTAATACAGCCATGGCATAGCCCCTTCACCAAACTGTCATCCAAAAGGGGGTTGGTGCAGCAAGGAGTGAGGATCCAGAGCTCAGGATAGGTCCTCTGCTTCTGATGTAGCCCTCAACTGCCTATCTGTCAACCTGTTCACTAGTTCTACCTGTCCCAAGTCCTGCCCTGAACTGATTCCAGCCTTTTCATGACACAGCTGAATTCTGCAGCTTTGCTTTCAAACCTGACTCCAACAGCTCCTCCAATAATATCTCCATCAGAAGGTCCCTCCCAGAGCAGGTCTGGCTCAGTACCTTATCTATACAAACTCTTTATCAGCCTACTCCGAAACCTCTTGAACTTTAGCATATATCTTTTAACTTGTATACATTCTGTGATCCATACATATATTTACTGTGTAGTATGAGAATATTAGTAGATAAAATTGAAATAAAGAATTTGAATTTGCCTTGGACAAGATGCAGATTTTGGAGCAAAGTGCTAAACTTGTAAATTTGTTGTCATTCAATAAATTCTGACATTGTGGAAAGATATACTGTGTTCATGTATGTTTCTGGCATCACTTGATCACACTATCTCAGGGGTTACTTGGGCTACCTTTGCTAGGATCAAAGCTTTATCTGGGTCAAAGCATAGGTCACCACAAGCTTGCTTCCTTCCCTGCTTCCCAGAAGCCAACTGGTAGGATGGCATAGAAGTAGACAGAGTCTGGGGTCAAATGCTGAGCTTCCTTCCTTCTCATCCCCTTGCTGAGTTTGGAGCACAACCTTAGCCTCTTCATCCAAACACAGGTGAACTAAAGAGGTTTCCCATGGTGGACTTTTCTTTGCATTTCGTAAGGGTCTTGCTGGAGTCACAGAGAAAAATTAAATAAAGGATAACAGAGGGATCCTAAAAGCTAGTAGCCCTTTAGCCTGAGGCCAGTAGACTCAACACAAAAAATGTCTTTCATATGATCAGCCATTTTAAATATAGCTCTGTACTGTGGCTAGAAGCCAACTTCCAGCCAATAAAGTTTTTACTGTTGTTGTTTTCTTCCCTGCTCAGTTGCTTTGTTAGACTGTATCTCTCAGAGGCATAGAAGGGAGGAAACAGGTGCTTTCAGAAAGTAGAGAGAGATTCTTAATACTCATAGGAAAAGCACTGTTCAATAATATTTTCGATGAGATCTGATGTGGTCTTCTGTAACCAGGCAACGCTCCCAGTGGTGCGACTGGGACACCAACACAGCCATAAAACCTATGACCCCATACCTGTCCTGCCTGTAAGATGCACTGGGACAATGGTGGTTCAGAGCTTGTAGAAGTGGCCAAACATGACTGGTCTAACTTGAGGCCCATAACATAATAGAGAACTCATGCCTGACACTGCCTGGATGGCCAGAACCCAGAAGCTGGGTGACTCAGAGACCTAGGGTAGAACCAAACATGACAAAAAAGAAAAGAAAAAAAAACAATGAAATGCTTCCTAATGATATTCTGCTGCACTCACAGATCAGTGCCTATTCAATCATCCAAAGAGGCTTCATCCAACAACTGTTGGAAGGAGATGCAGAAACCCACAGCCAAACTGTAGGCAAAGCACAGGGAACCCTGCAGAAGATAGGAAGGAAGGATTTTAGGAGCTTGTTGAAGCCACAGGGATCTAGGACACCAGGGGAACAAGCCACAGCAGGACTCATAGGAGCTCATAGAGACTGGAGCAGCAACCACAGTGCCTGCATTGGTCTGCCCTAGGCCCTCTGCATGCAGCTGTGGTTCTTCAGCTTGGGTTTATGGGACTTCTTACAGTGGGAGCAGAGGCTGCCTCTGACTGCTTTGCCTACTTTTAGACCCTTTTCCTCCTACTGGGCTGCCTTACCCAGCCTTTATATAAGAGTTTATGCTTAGTATAATTGCATCCTGTTATGGTGTGTTCACTTGATTCCCATGGGAGGCCATCTCTTGTCTGAAGGGAAACAGAGGAACAGTAGATCTGGGGCAGAGAGGAGGCTGAGGGCGGTATGTATTGTATAAGAGAATAAAGAAAAAGAAAAAATAGTATTTTAGGTTTTACATGTTTAGGAAAAAGAAGAATGAAAACTTATGACTAAAGGATTAAGGGTTGAGGGTGTGGCTGTTTGCAAGCACACAGTCCTGAGTTTTGGGCCCTTGGAACCTGTGAAAAAGCTGGGTGTGGTGGCTTTCATTTGTAACCCTAGCACTGAAGGAGTAGAGACAGACAAGTATCTAGGGCTGCCCAGCCAGCCTGAGGGACTGTGTCTCAAGAACAAAGGTAGCCACTGAGAAACAATACCCATGGTTGTCCTTTGACTTACACACACACACACACACACACACACACACACACACACACACGTGTTTAAAGCAAAAGTTTCATTGTAAAATCTATTTTTACTAATATGAACATCAAGGAAAGCCCTGGCCTTCACTGTACAGTACAGCACACAACAGAATAAAAGATGCTTAAAGAGTTGTGGAGGACAAAACACCATGACCATGAACCAAAGACTGCTCATCTTCAACAAATGGCACAACTGGTCCTGGCACTGCTCACATGACTTACCAGGTTCCCATTTACAGGAAACCAAAACTGAGACAAGTGATGTGAACACCAGTAGTGTCTTAGGGTTCCTTATTGCTGTGAATAGACACAATGACCATTGCAACTCTTACAAAGAAAACATTTGAGGTAATGGCTTACAGTTTCAGAGGTCAGTCCATTTACTGTAGTTGTATCATGACCAGAAGGCAGCAGGAAGTTGACTGAGTGTCACACTGAATGAAGCCTGAGAAAAACACCTCATAGATCACCCCCACAGTGACACACTTCCTCCAAGAAGACTATACCTACTCCAACAAGGCCATACCTCCTAATAGTGCCACTCCATTTGGGGGCCATTTTCTTTTAAACCACTGTAGGAGCATCATATATCTGCCATGAGTCACACTGTAGTCAAGACACTCAAGTTGTGCCATGAATGGCAATATACCAGGTTGTAATAAATATGAGGACTTCCCATTGCACACACTTAGAAGTATTACCTCTTTCTAGCAAGGGTATCATGTAAATTCTGATTATCTGATTCTCAGAGATCTCCACCTGTATAGCTTTGTTTGACAGTCTGAACCAACCTGTAATGGGGGTGGACCAGCAGCGGATCTTCCCTTCGTAGAGTTCCTTCCCATGATCACCTGGTGCTCTTCATTATTCATTAGAGGTTTCGCATGCATAGTTTAAAGTGCCCATTAAAGTTGAGTACAGGCTTATGCTGCTTAACATCTGGGTTACACTGCAGTGTTAGAGAAGTCAGTCTGTCTCTGACATAGTATTCTTGCACAAATCTAAATGATGTAGAGGTGTGGTATAACACTCAGTGTGACCTCTTGACATGATCAGGAGATACAGTGGAAGGAGTGAGTGAAGTCCTAAGTGGACGTGTGTGGTTGACATGAACACAGCCGTGTCAGGGACACCAACACCTCAGCCCCATGGGAATGGCAACCTTCGCCAGCTGAGGCTCAAAAGGATGACAAAACCTCCATCAGGTCCCAGTGTGAACTCTTGTCAGTATGAAAGGAAAATGTCCACCATTGCTTTTTCTTCCCCCAGATGTTTACAGTCTAAAGACTGCTCCCCTGCAGAGCCTGCTCAGGATGAGATTAACCGAGTCCTTGATCAGCTGTATACAATAACCCTGCTTCCTTATTATCTGTGTGTAATAACCTCACCTACATGTTCAGCTGTATATAAGAAGCACATGGAGCTTCTCCATCTGAGAGGTCAGACCATAATAAAGCTGTTCTGTGTCTGTGGGTCTGGCAATGCTTTCTCTACTCACCATGAGTCAGAGTTCCAGGACCCATGCTGTGGAAGGACTTAGAGATACAGGAAACAGGAGATAAGGTTGTTCCATACTGCGTCACAGAAAACTCTTATTAGCAGAAGAAATACACGCTAAGATGATTATTCAACAGTATAGTATAGTGAGTACACCAGTGAGGGACATTGTTATTAATTATCGCCAAGTGCTGTGTACTATATGCAATTGTTTGTGCTCTACTTATATAACTGTCCATGCAGCAGCTGTGTTGACTCAAGCATCACCACAGACACATGAATCACTAGTTGTTCAACACAGTCACTTGGGGGACAAAAATGTGTCTGCTTCATTATAATCATCAGAAGGCACTGTTGCCTGGGTTGTCTACCACTGATAAACCATTATGCTGCACATGAGTATAACTTGAAAATGAAGCCAAAATTTTTGATTTTTAATTTTGGATCAGGATTTCTTACACTTCTTTCATGGTGACTCCTTTTATCTGTCAAACATTTATACAATCATGGGAATAAACATTTATAAACACCATGTATAAATCAAACAAAATTTTATTTTAAAGCAATTCATTTATATGTATGTATAATTTAACAATTATTAGCAATAAAAGAATATTTGTATACTGATAAAGATGTTCTTTTTGTTTTGCATAAATAATTAAATCATGCCAGAATACTTGATACTGCAGGAAATAGATCTTTTTCAATATTTCTCAGAGTTGATCAATATTTTTTGTTGTCATCATCAGTGTAAGAATATCATCTTGTATAAGTTTGCTTTGCAAAATATCACAGTCATGTTTGGGAACACTTCAGAAATTATCTTAATTCCAAACAACAATCATTTAATACTTTTTATGATGCCCAATTTAGCAACTTAATCAGAAAGGTTTCAAATAACATATTCTAAACATAACACAATGCAAAGGTATACTTATATAATATATATGCCAAGGAATGGTGATATAAAATATTGTCTTTTCCTAATTAAAACACTGTTTCTATAAAACTACAAAAACTTTGTATATACAGGAAAAACACTTCCTTAATGTGCAATAGTCTTACATCTAAGATGGGTTCCAGCCAGTGTTTGTTGGCACTGTATGGCCTGAGGGCATGTGTATATATTTTATATTCAGAATCAAGGATGAAAGGGAGTCACACAGTGCAACAAGTGCTGAGAGAAATGCCTTGGTAGAGAGTGGAGGAGGGATGGAGAAAAGGGAGAGAGAAACATGGGGGGGGGGGTGAAACACAGCAATGGTTAAAAATTTCCATGATGGGGAGAGAGTTTGTTCAAAGGAGCACGGCTTTTAGAGAGCTGGAAAAGACACTGCACTCGTATTTGTTTTCCTGGTAGCAGGGACTATACCGCGGACCTAGTGTATACTAGGCAAGAACATTGCCAATGAGCTATACACACAGCTTGTGTTCTTTCTTCCTAGCAAATGTCATCTACTCCCAATGGGTTAATGACTCAGTACATTACTGGCACTCTCAAAATTTGATCTCTAGGCTGAAGTTCTCTCCCATCTTCTGACTCCTATGTTTGCTTGCTTAGTAGCTCCTTGAAAAATGCCCAGCTAAACTTGCCTTGTGAAGCATGAATGGGCCTGATGGCACAGTTTCTTCAGCCACATCTATAGATAGACAGGCAAGCTATGCAGGACCCAAAAGCAGATGGTCACCCTCAAGTCTGTAGTTTTCTTTGATTCTTTATAACACATTTTTCTCTATCTGTGAAATGTTAGCATATTTTGTTTTAATTCCAAATTATTTTTGTTCTTTAACATCTACCCAAAGTCTGTCAAATAAGCAAACTACTGGACTTATCCCAGCAGACAGGCACAAGGTACAAGTTAGTTGGCCTATGACAGACATAGCCCTTCCAGAGTTGAAATGTCTACATCGACCAAACAGGACCTGGGTTTATCTGGGGATCTGCTCCTGTGCAAATGTTTACATAACATTTGCAAGGCAGCCTTTTAAGAACAAACATGACCTGATAATTTGACAACAGAAATAGTGATCACCATGATTTTTACAAAATCAAGTCTCAAGAACTTGAAGTCGGAAGAAAAACAGAAAATAGAAACAGGAATTTCTATTTAAAATAAGACAAGGATTCTGTTCTTGACAGACTTTCTCTTAGTCCCACTGCATACAGCCTTCCTGTCTGAAGAATTCTTCCCCCCAATCCACTCCATTTCCTCAGAACTCACCTCTTGGTTCAGACCTAGGATTGCCCCAGTACTTTCCCAGGGGCCCTTCTCATTTGAATTCCTTTGTGTGAGTCCCCAATTCAAAGAAACACAATCTACTAGGAACCCCCCAGTGGTCACATTGGATTGAAAGGCAAAGGCCCACATCCCCATTCTTGTCTATGATCCACAGTTGACAACAGCAACCAAAGAACAAACCTCTCAGCCAACAAAGACAAGGACCAGGTATCTACACTGAGAAACAATCCAAACCTCATAACTCCAGATTCCTACATCGCATCACAAAAACACAAACAGGAACTGTCAAGCCAATACGCCTCTTCTAGAAGCCAGCAAAAGGCCCTGAGAAAAGCAACTGAGCTGAAGCATTAGACAAGGACTTCAAAATAGTCATGACTATGTTCAAAGACGTGGGGGTGGGGGGTGGGGAGGGTGGGGTGGGGGGGAGTGGGGGATGGGGACATGAATAAATTCCTCAGTAAAGTCAATGAAAACACAAAAAGTAGACTGAAATAATGAAAACAATTCATGTCAAGAAAGTAGAATTAAAGAAATAGAATCACCAAAGGAAACCCCAAACTGAAATAAAACGGGAAGTGAAAGATTTACGAAGTCAAACTAAAACCTCAGAGGTAAGTCTCACCAACATAAAAGAGTGAACCTCAAGCACTGAAGATAAAGTAGAAAAAAACAGATAGTCAGAAAAAATGCTAAATATTAAAAAAAAAATCCAGGCACAAAACATCAGGAAATCTGGGACACTGAAAAAAATATACAAATGTATAAATAATATAACTATAGAGGAAGGAAAAAAGAATCAGTCAAGACACAGAAGACAAGGTCAAGGCACAGAAAATGTTTCAAAAATAAAATCACAGAAGAAAATCGCCCCAACCTAAAAAAAGAGATGCCTATCAAGGTAAAAGAAGCACATAGACCAGAGAAGAAATTCTCTGTAACACATAATACTTAAAACACTAAATGTACAGAAAAAAGAAAGGATATTAAAGGCAAAAAAAATACCAAGTCACATATAAAGACAGGCCCACTAAAATATGGCCGGAGGTTTCAATGGAGACTATGAAAGTTAGAAGGTCCTAAATGGATATTCTACAACTTCAGAGAGAACATTCCAAGTCAGACTACTATATATGGAAAACTATCAATTACTATCAACAGAGTAAGAAAGAAATCACTACATGATACAACCAATATCTGTTTATAAATCCAGCCCTACCAGAGATATTAGAAGAACTTAAAAGGTTAACATCACCTCAGAGGACATAAGAAATAAATAACTGAAAAAAGTAAATCAAAAGATGAGGTAAACACACACGGTACAGCAACAAAATAATGAAAATCAATAATTATTAATAACTCGAATATTAATTGTCCCATTTACCCAATAAGAAGGCACAGACTAATAGACTGAATTAGAAAACAACACCTAGTTTTCTGCTGTATCGAGGAAAAAAGCCTTACCATCCAGGATTGGCAGGACTTGCCAAAGGTAAATCAAGGTTAAATAAACAATACACACAGACCTATTACCTACCCCTAGTGAACAGAAACAGTAATTAAAAATCTTCCAAATAAAAACAGCCCAGGGCCAGATGTATTCAGTTCATAATTCTACCCCAGACCTTCAAAGAAGAATTAATGCCAACTTCTCTTTTTATGGGGTTGCTATTACCCTGGTACCAAAACTACGCATAAACAAAACAAATAAGTAAAATTGGAGATGAATATTCCTCATGAACATAGAACTAAAAACTATCAATAAGATATTTGCTAACTGAATTTAAGATCACATCAAAAAAGATCATCTGCCATGAACAAGTTGACTTTATCCCAGAAATGCAGGTGTGGTTCAACATATGCAAATCAAATGTAATCCACCACATAAATAAACAAGACAAACATCATATGATCATCTCATCAGATGCATAAAAGGCCTTTGATAAAAATGCAATACCCTGCTGTGTGGTGGTTGTGACACATGCCTTTAATCCCAGTACTTGGGAGGCAGAGGCAGACAGATCTCTGTGAGTCAGAGGCCAACCTGGTCTACAAAGTGAGTTCCAGGACAGCCAGAGCTGTTACACAGAGAAACCCTGTCTCAAAAAAAAAAAAAACCACCAAAACTCAAAAAGTAAATAAACAAACAAAATCCAAACTCCTTCATGGTAAAAGTGCCAGAGAGATTAGGGATACAAGAAACATAGTTCAACATAATAAAGGCAGTTTACTGGACGCTCATGGCCAAAAGCAATTTAAATGGAGAGAAATTCAAAGCAATCCCACTAAAATCAGGAACAATACAAGATTGCCCAGTTTTTTCATCTTTTCAATATAGTACTTGAAGTGTAGTCTAGCTAGAGAAATAAGAAATCTGACAGAGAGCAAAGGATACAAATTGGAAATTGAGAAGTCAAACTATCTTTATTTACAAATTATATGATTTTATACATAAAATATTCCCAAAACCCAACCAGAAAACATCTACATCTAGTTAAAAAAGCAACCTTTAGCAAAGTAGCAAGAGACAGAGCATGCAAAAATCGCTACAAATGGCACACATACTGAGGAAGCAATCAGGGAAATAGTACATTTCACAGTAGCCTCAAAATAAGTAAAATATCATGGGATAATTTTAAACAAGCAAGTGAAATAGTTAAGTAATAAAAACTTTAAGACATTAGACAGACATTAGACAGAAAGCTCTCCCGTGCTCATGGATCAGTAGGGTTAATACAGTGGAAATAGCCATCCTACCAAACGACCTACACATTAAATGCAATCTCCATCAAAATTTCACAGAAATTGAAAAACCAATATTCAACTTTATATGGAAGCACAAAAAACCCAAGATACCCAAAACAATTCTGAATAATAAAAAGAACTACTAGAAGTGTCACCATCCCAGCCTTCAAGACATACTACAGAATAATAGTAATAATAACAACATGGTGTAGACATAAAAGCAGATATGTTAATCAACAGAATCAACTTGAAGACCTAGACCTAGTCCACATTCTGATGAATTTTGAAAAAAAAACCTGAAAATGTACACTAGAAAAAGATAGCATCTTCAACAAATGGTGATGGTCAAACAGGATGGCTGCATATAAAAGAACAGAAATAGACTCACATCACCCTGAACAAAATTCAAGTGCAAGTGGATCAAAGATCTCAACAAAAAACTAGATACTCTGAACCTGGTAGAAGACAAAGTGGATAATAGCCTTGAAAGCACTGACACAGGAGAAAACTTTCAAACGAGAACATTATTAGCATAGACACTACAGTCAACAATGAAACTGAAAAGATGGGAATAGTCTAACTCAAGATCCAGCTATATCACTTGGCCATGCACCTGACCTACTATAGAAATACTTGTTTATCCAAGTTCATTACCATTCTATACTTAATAGCCAGGAATTGGAAATAGCCTAGATGTCCCTCAGTTGAGAAATGGATGATGAACATGTGTATGTTTACACGTGGAATATTATTAAGCTGTTAAGAAAACTAAAATTTGAATGTTTGCAGATAAATGAATGGAGCTAGAAACAACCATCCTGAGTGAGGTAATCCAGACAAAAAGATAAACAGAGCATGTTTTATATGTGGATGTTAGCTTTGAAGCTTTTGATTTGTGTGCTACAGTTCTAACAACCACAGAGTTAGGAAGCTCGTACAGAAGGAAATGATTCTGCAAAGGACACCATCATTCAGACAGTCACAGCCTACAAAATGGAAAAAGATTTTTACTAACCACACATTCAATAGAGGGCTACCAGGGAACAGACACACACACACACACACACACACACACACACACACACACACACACACACACGAGAGAGAGAGAGAGAGAGAGAGAGAGAGAGAGAGAGAGAGAGAGAACTAGATATCAAGAAAACTCCACCACACCAGTATCCCAGCTTAGTAACAAGAACAGGTGGTTCTTTTCCAACACAGTGGGTTGGAGTTGCACACATCACTTCAGCAGCATCAGTGTGTTGGTGAGAACACATTTGTGTATCTTCTTTACCTCTGGATAAGCCTGAGAGGTAGCATCTCTAGCTAGGTGAATACAGCTTCAAATGCTACTAGTATGCCAGAAGGAACATTAGATTGGAGGAGGAAAAACAGTAAATGATAACTTCCTAAAAATTGAGATCTCCTTTAATGGCTTTTGAAGATTAAATACAGCTTAGGCAGAAGCAGTATCAATTGCACATTTGATTACAGCCTTCATAGTCTAAAAGACATACTCTTGATTTTTAAAATTGAGTGTTGTGTTTGATATTCACTACCTTTAAAAGTAGCTCTTTTTCTGTACTATCTTAGTCAGGATTAATACTGCAGTGATGAAACAACACGCAGAAAAGCAAATTTGGGAGAAAGGGATTTATTTGACTTACATATCCTGAATCTCAGTCCACTGAGCAAAGACAAGTCTAATTTTACTTTTCCTCAAATGTCTTAGACCTGTTTAATCTTTCTTCTGGGCATGTGGAATAATCTACTAGGCCTTCCCTAGTTCTCCTCATTAGTGTCCAGTAAATTAGCTAAATTCAAATCTATTCATCTATTTCTCCAATTGCAAAATTTGCATGTACTACTAACTACTGTAGGATAAAATCCAAAAACTGAGGAGTGTTTCTTAAAATGTGCTTCAAGGACTAGCTGCACCTGCATCCCTCAGGAATTTGTGAGAAGTGCAAATTCTTCCACGCTTTCCCCAGGCACAGACCTGCAAAATCAAAGTCCCTAGGGATGAAGTTCAGTGAAGTTTGCTTTTAGAAGCAACTGTGGTACTGTGATACACACTCAAGATTGAAATCTACAGCAAGGCAAATATACATTGGTGTTGCTCCTGTCCTCCAAGCTCCAAGATGTACTCTGCGTCTACTCTCAGAATATCCCATCACATCACAAGCCTGTCTTGCCATTTTGTGCACACATGAACTGGTAGTTTCTATGCCTGAAAAATTAACTCTTCAATGGTGTGGTCAGATCCCACAGGCAATCTTAAACTCTTATGTAGTATATAACACAGTGGGAGATGGATGCCTGAGGCCTGACCTGGGATTATAGTAGGTACTCCATACTCTATTTTTGCTTATTTCCACTCTCTTCCCACCCTTTTTCCATTGAGATAAATCATCTTCCAGAGAAAATTCCTCTTCTATAACCGAGGGCATAGTTTGACTACCAGTCGATTAATCATATTGTACCTAAAGGTCAACAGTAACATTAAGTCCCAAATTCATATCTAATAAACTGAAAAATTTGAAATAAACCTAACGTAAACCTTTTACTCTTAGACACAATTTGTTACTTTATAGAAGAGTTTTCAGCCAGGCAGTGGTGGTGTGCATCTTTAGACTCAGCACTCGGGAGGTAGAGACAGGCATATGGTTTGAGACCATCCTGGTCTACAGAGTGAGTTCAAGGACAGCTAAGACAGTTTCACAGAGAAACCCTGTCTCGAAAAACAAAACAACAACAAAAATTTTTAAACATTAGAAAATGTGCAACTCTCTTTCTGCAAGGGTGTGACCTGCTGAGATGTATCAATGAGGAAAGCACTCGCCTCTAAGACTGATAGCCTGATTTCATCCCTGGAACCCACGTAAAATTGCAAGGAGAAAATGAATTCCAGAGAAGTCACCAATGTCCACGCTGCCATAGCATGCATGTGCTAACATGCACATACACACAAAGTAATAAAAAATACAAACTGAAAGTAAAGAGATTTTTATTTAAGATGTGATATGTTTGTCTTGTGGAAGTTTTATACACCAGTCTTCTCTACACTAGGAAACAAAGTCTCCTTAGTAATAGGGTGTTCTGAGTTTTCCTTTTGTACATCTTTAAACAAGAATTCAAAATCATTATCTGTTGATTTTTCTTCTTAATTTGGTATATAGCATTAGTGTAGTAGCTAGATCAAACAGCAGCTTGTATGAACGTGATCTTACACAATAACAGAAATAAAATAAAAGATTTGGTATTCTCATTCATTATAAGTGATCAACAGTTTTGGAATCCTGGAATACCTTTCCCTCAGAGCTTAGAGTACAGCATCTGCAATCATCAAGTCATATGACCACTCTGGACTAGAAGTTCCATCCATTGAGTCAAACCTGTATGTTTTCATTCTCTCATTGTGAATAACAATTAGGTAAACATTTACTTGGCAGATGTGAATCTGAGCCCCCCCCATCACATTCTCCTTCTTCAGGGCCAAACAAATATGTAGTGAGGGGTAGTGGGTGAGGTGGGAGAGGCCAGAGACACTCAGAAAGTTATGCGCTTACTCAAGTATGGGCAGACATGCAAATAATCATGCCAGATCAAGCCTGGATAAAACTGCAGTGTTTTTGGCTACAGGAGAAGAAGCAGCTGAAGTTGGCTGCTTTCCCAATCAGCTCAGTGCTGAAGAATCCTTCAGTTTGAAGTACCTAGTTGACAATGACCAAGTAACAGAAGGAAGAACTCCATCTGAAACAAGACACCCTATCAGCATATCCTCCACATGCCTGCATCCTAACCATTGAGTGGTACTCTGATGCTCCTGTCACACAGGCTTTGTGATGGAGTTATTGTTCTCTTTCTTATAATTGGATTGCATTCCCCAATGGTAGAAGTGCCTTTAATCCACCCCTCTGCTCTCAGAGGAGTCTGCCATAGCATATATCCTCAATATATTCCTGTTGAACAAATAAGCTGAAAGTCCATCATTTAGAAAATATTAGTGGGTAATGGGAAAAGGCAATTTTATGCAGGATCCAGGTATATTTGCACTTATTTAAATTATATAGCTTCAGTAAGCCTGAGAAGAAAGATACCTGTCTTTTATAAAATGCATCCAAACTATTTTCCTCACTAGAGCCACTGAAGAATGACACTGTCATTCAAGGTCCAGCTGTGTATATGTGTGTGGGGTGTCTCTCATGTGTCCCACACTGGCTTTATACTTGCTATATATCTAAGGAAGACCTTGAACTTCTGTCTCTAATCCCCCAAGTGCTGGGATTACATACACATCCTGCTAGCCCTGGTTTATGAGCTACTGGGGATCAAGCCAGTGCTTTGCGTATGTTAGGCAAGCCTCCTGTCAAAAAAGCCAAGTCCCAGTCCAGAAGGCCACCAGTTGTTGGAGAGCTTTATACTCACCTGGCTGCAGTCTTGCCTGGTATATATGTTTACTTGATAAAAAGGTGACTGAAGAATTCAAGGCTTCTGGAACCCTTTAACAAAATAAACCAAGTCCTAATTTGAGTTCAGAATCTTAAAATCCCCTCAAATCAAATATTTTAAATGGCAGCAGAGAAAGGCAAATACATCTCAGACCATCATGCCAAAGCAAAAGAATACAGAATTGCACTTGAGAGATGATTTCCTGAGGAACATCAACCACAGTGAACTGATATCAAGAGTTCCAATATCCACTTATCAAAAATTATTATGGATTTGCCAACCTTTACAGAAGTATACAGAAAATATGGCATATAGAATACCACAGTGGTAGATACTTTGGAGTGTGGAGAGTAATTTGACATTTAATCTGTTTTTAATAGCACCTTACATTTGGCATTTAAACGACATTAGTTAACAATGTTCTTCCATCTATATTACATGGAACTTGAAAAGCTTTGCCTGTTGTATGGCTGACATGTGAAAAAATTGGGAGCATAAATCAGTTCTCCTTAATGCTCAAGAAAATTTATGGAAACTGGCCTAGCCCATCAAAGGAGAGACAAAACTATACACAATCTCCCAACCATAGCCAAATAAAAGCTCAAATGACAGAGCCCATCCGGGTTACATAGGATGGACAATAGGAGAAACAGCTCTCCTGTGACTCTCAGGGAAGATGTCTTGTCTCCTGTAATCTTCCCCCATATCTTATCCCCACCCTCTCCCATTTCATGCTCAACTCACTCAGCCATTACTTCCTCTCTTCAGATCCTTAACCCAAATTTATAAGGGCACTGGAGTGCCTTAATATCCATATAATTCTTGCTCTGCATTCGATTGTAGCTTCCTTACTTTCCCTAAAGATTATGAAAAGGTATTGAAATTTATTTCCTCATGCCTACCTCTTATTTACCCCTCATACTTTGAAGAGGGGTAAATTGGTTCTTTTCTCACCTTGGTCTTTTGCTACCTTGGGCAATGTTGACCTTCCCTTCTTTCTTTCTCCTCTTTTCCTTATATTTCTAGTATACAAAAGTTCTCTTGATTCCTCTTATTCCTTGAATTTATTTATATTGTGAAACACAGTTCTATCACTTTGCCTATGTGGCCTTGGACAGCTACATTAAAAACAAGTGCGGACTGTAGTGAAATGGTCTGCCTCTGGTTTGCCTGTCTGTGTCAGGCAGGCTTTCTGCCTGGAACAAAAACAACAGTATAGCTTTACAGTTTTATTTTGTCAGCTTGACTGGATTGAATGATCTATAGAAAAATTGATAAAGCACATTTTGGGGTATGTCTATGAAGGTGTTTACAAAGAAGACTGGCATGTTGGGGAGACAAATGGGGAAGACTCTCCCTGATTTGGAAAGTACCATACAGAAAGAGAGAGGAACTCATGCTGGTTCATAGTCTGCTCTTGGTGAGTTTTTGATGTTGTTTTGACTTGGTTTATACTTGATGCTGCTTTTCCATGAGGACATGAGATTTGAGAACCCTTGGATTGGATCTGTATCATTTGATCTATCTTGTTTGGAGGACTCTTGGACTGAGTGACTACTGCTATCCCTTACTCTCTAGTCTTTCTGAGCACACAGGCAAGGACTAGTTAGCCTCTGATCCAATAATTACATACACTAATATGATACATTCATAACTGTATATTCTATTGGTTCTGTTCCTCTGGAGACTCCTGACAAATACAATAAGCCAATCAAGAAGTATCACATGGGAATGGTGAAACACCAGGAGACCATGACCAGAGTTGGGGGGGGAACCTGGAGACTTAGAAAATAGGAATTCTGTCCAGGTAGGAACACAGCCAATGCCAAAAAATCACAGAGGAAACTCGTTAGAAAGATGTGTATCCAGATTGCCTTTCAGTCCTCCTATCCTATCCTGTGCTGGTGCTGAGTACTACACAAATCTGTATGAATACTGACTTCAAACATGGACTGGCTGCCTTGGGGAGGATCAGCAGAGAATGGGCAGCACACGAGCACACTGCCCACTTCTCCTTGGTGCATGTACGATAGTTACTATGCCATTTCTGCATAAATGGCAGATCGCAAATTGCCTCTGGGTGGACTGGTAGAAGAGGAGAGTCAGAACAAAAATAGGCCTCTATTCCTATGGATGAGTGAATGTATAAATAAGTCCATCTTTTTGTTCATTATGAAGAGTGCCTCTTCAGTCATGCCAAGCCCAAAAGCCCATGAAACTCCAAGTCCCTCTTTACACCTTCCTGTGTATCTCTCTATCCATCTTCCTGGCTCCTCCACACTCTCTATGGCTAATTCCTGTCAACTAGTTGCTGGCTCTGCTACCTGATCCAAAACTGATTTTATTAACACAGTTTTGGGTATCACAGTGCAATCAAATATATACCTATTGTATTAAAACCCAACTGTGACTTTTTCTTAGAGAAGCCCATACTTGTCCTATTGTGTGTACTTACCCTTTCTGTCTAGGAGAACCTTTCTATCTTCAATAATATCAATTTTGCTTCACATTTTGATTGCCTTGAAATTTGTTTCTTTATTGAACCATCAATCTAATTTGACATGGGTAGAGGTTTTCAAAAAACTTCTTAGACAGCTGCTACTGTGGTGTGGAGATGTGTTCCATTTGCCAGTGAGAGTATCACAATATCTAACTAACCACTAGTACAGAAAATTATGATGCAGATATATGCAATTAAAACACACTAGATATGCAGAATAAAAAACAGGATAGAGGCCCTATAAGCAAGCTCACACATACACAGCTGTATCCACCTAGTTTTTAACAAAAGTATCAAGAACATACATTGGAAACAATGACAACTTCTTCAATAAGTGGGGTCAAGAAAACTGAATATGAAATTATGTCCACATTACTTACCCAGAAGAAAAATCAGTTCAAAATAGATCAAAGATCTTCACATAATATCAGAAGCTTTGAAACTGCTAGGAAAAAGCATCTGAATATATAACCATAGGCAAGTACTCTCTGAGAATGACCCTATCAACCTAGGAAATAACTCTAAGAACTGACAATGGGATTATGCAAAAGGTAAAAAGCCTCTATGTAGAAAAGGAAACAGTTACCTGAATGAAAAAGAAATCCTACAGAATAGGAAAAAAATTTCACTGCCAAATTTCATTAACAAAAGTTAATCTCTAGAACATATAAATAACTGAAAATTATACATTTCCAAACCTTCTGATCAATAAATGAATTAATTATTTGAATGGACAATTCTCCAAGGAAGAAGCAAGTAGCTAATAAATTCCTTTACCATTCATGAAATGTAACTTAGACCATTGTGAGAGTTACTTTCACCACAGGTAGAATGGTGACTATTAAGGAAATGGAGAGCAAAGGCTGGTGAGGATGTAGGAAGAGGAACTCTTACTCACTGCTAGTGGGTGAGCTACTAGAGTGCTGTCAGTCAATATGGAAATCACAATGGAGGGTTCTCCAAAAATAAGGAAAAATCAAGGCAAAACAGACAACACCAAAAAGTCCCAAACCAAACAAAAAACACAACCAACCAAAAACCTTTATACTAGAAACAAAACAACAACAACAAACATTCCTGGGTGTATACACCCAAAGGACCTTATGGTATTTGCATATTCATGTTTATGGCTGCTAAGAAATGGAACCACCTGGGACCTACCAGAAAACTAATAGATAAAGAAAATGTGATGTGATATATATATATATATATGTGTGTGAGTGTGTGTGTGTGTGTGTGTGTGTGTGTGTGTGTGTGTATGATAGGTATACATGAGGGAATTTTATTCTGCTCTAACAAAAAGTGAAGTTATGACATTGCAGAAAAAAGAAAGATGGAACACACTGTTGTAAAGCAAAATAAGCCAGAATCAAAGACAAATACTGCGTGTACTGACATATGCAAAATGTGTGTGTGCTGCGAGCGTGTTCGTGTGTGTGTGTGTGTGTGTGTGTGTGTGTGTGTGTATGTGTGTTGAAACTAGACAGTGAGTCTAGGTCTGAAGGAAGCAGGAAGGGGTGGAAGAGAGATGATTATAAAATATATGAATTGTTACGTGAATGCAAGAGAGAATTAAGGGGTCATAGGCAAGGTGACTATTAAGAGTGTGTCATGGAGTAGAAGACAATAGAAGGTGTCAAATAAGAACACATTATTAAAATTCCATAACGAAACACATTCCTTTGGATGTTAACAATGACAATAAACAAAATAAATTAACTCATTAAAGACACAAGCCAGGTATTCTTGAAAGCTGGGTTATTGGGGATCACAAGACATTAACAATGACATCTTTCACAGTGTCTTCACTTGGGGGAGACAGATGGTGAACAATTAAACACACAAAGCAATGTCAGGCAGGGGTTGTGGGAGGAGGAAAGTAGGGGTTGCCCAACTCTTTGGGAGGCAGACTTGTCCTTCAAATAAAAGTCATTAGGGATGTCATCTGAGTAGATGCCAGTAGAGCTTAACATTAATAAAAAAGGGGGAAAGACTGGGATTTCTAAGTGATAAGGGAAGATTGTTCACCCAAGAGCGATCCGCAGAAATAGAATTTTGAAGAGGAAACTTGCCCACACCAGAGAGTGACAGAGGAGGCCAGGGTGCTAGTGTGTGAAAGGGCAAGGGGTGATGAGGTGGGAGTGGCAGCAGAAAGTGACGTCATAAACACCTTTGTAGGGCAGGTAAGGATTTGCTATATTTCCAGAAGGGGGTTAGGCTGATCATGATGGCCTGCCGTGTGTGGATCAAGGCATGCCTCATTTCCAGTTGTAAACTATAATTTTCACAGTTCTATGAAAAGAACATTCCAGTGGGGCAAGAGTGGAAATGCTCCATTGCACTTACACTTCAGTGGCCAAAGCACTATGGACCCTGGAGACAGATCATATCTTGGATAGGCATGACGCTGTGTAGATAGGGAAGAACTCATGATCCAAGATTGGCCTATCTATGTAGGCCGGCTGGCAGACCATGAGCTGGCTCAGTACTCAGGGATCTGTGAATGGATTAGAGTCTTCTGCAATATGAACTGGAGACTAACTCAAGACTTCTGTATGGAATTGGTGGTATGGGAGTAAGCCAGGGACAGAAAGCAGAAACACGGTGGGAAATAGGGGTTCCTAATTATTATTATTATTATTACTATCAAATGATATTGAGGCATTCTTCCAGATTCTCCTCACAAGGGTATAAGAAGCATAATAATGTCTCAAAGTTTGTTTCTTAGACCTGTTCTCCTTCACACCAATCAGAAATGAAAAAGACCTGCCCTTGTAATAAAACTCTCCCACATCAGTGGTTTTACTCCTCACTCCACATTTCCATTGAAAGGTAACTAGGATTCGTATTCTTCACCTTCTCAAGATGAAGATTCACAGAGCTCAGTCTCTGCAACACTGATAATTGGCATGGCACAGAGTGAAAGGATTTTGGAAGGTTTTCATCAGCATCCAGAAGCTAGTCACAATTCACTGGCAAAATGCCGTGAAGACTGACCCAAACATAAGGTTTGGACAGACAAGTCAGCCTACCATGTACCGAGAAGGGTACAGAATATCTGGCACACCTATCACCACTCTCACTCACCCATAACCATGATTTTAATTGCTGTCTGTATGCCAGTGTCAACATTTCTAGGAGTGATAACTCATGTCAATGTCATATGCTTATTTTCAACCATCTACTGGAATGACACATTTGGATGGTATTTTGGGCAGCTCAGCTCTCATGCATCAACCTCATTTGGCTTTTGTTTGTTTTTGCACAGTTGTAATACTTTCCTTTAAGCAGTGGATCCCTATCTACCTACCACCTCAAATAAGAACTCTAGATAGTATCCTTTGTATCCTTGACTCCTTACCTTGTTCTAGCATTCAGTCATCAGTCTATAGGCAGAGAAAATGGGTCCCCTGGTAACAGGAACCCTTAAACAAAGGTCTTCCTGGGATCTTTTCCACTGTACCCCGACACAGTGCTTGGCACTCAGTAAAGGACTAGGGACTGAGAAGGGACACTTTCTGAAGAGTGGCACTTCACAGGCAATTCCCTGGGTTCCTAAACGGTCCGGCTGTGAAGAACACATTGGGAGACCTAGCTCTCTGGGAAGGCACGTCTACCCTCTAAACTGAACAAGAACTCCTCCCCTAGAGTCGCCAGACAGCCTTGGAAGTGAGCAGCGGCACTGCCAGCTCGCAGGAGAGGTCACTTCGGAAACTGCCAGGAAGGCAGGCACTTGGCAAGAGGTGCCGCAGCAGCTGCGGCCAAGGGTCTTTGACACGCAGGCACGCGCGCGCTCGTGGGAGCGGGGAGCGCGCAGCCCGGGGTCCCCTTTCCGCTTCCCGTGGCGTCCCTCGGCCCCACTCATCTGCCGGGGCAGCCCAGGCCTCCGTTGCCCCAGAGACCTAGAAACCGCGCCACTCACCGCGGCCCGGGACGGGCGTCACGGAGGCGTGGCCGACCATCCAGCTACGGCTCCGCCCCCCTGCGCGCGCCCCGCCCCTCGGGCCCAAGGGGGAGGGCTTCGCGGGCGCGGGGTCCAGAGTCGCCCGACTCCCGGCGGGACCGCTTCGCCACCGCCACTCGCCGCCCTTCCCCGGCCGTTCCCATCGCCGCGAGAGGACGCAGGGAGCTGAGGCCGGGCGTGCGGGGTGCCATGGAAGGCCGCTGGCGGGCGGACGCGGCGGGAGCGCAGACACTGGCCGGCTGAGGCCCAGGCATGCGGAGTCCCGGCGGGAGCCTGCTCCACACGCTGCCCCGGGCCTTGCAGCACTCCGATCGTCTGGGAGGCTCGGAGCAGCCGGGCCGCTGGGCACCGGAGCCGACGGTGGGCGGGGACTGCCCCGAGGACCGCCTTCTCCGCGGGGGCGGGGCCAGCGCGGCTGCTGCGGCGGCGGCGGCCTCGGGCGCCCTGCTCGGCGCCTATCTGGAGCGCCACGGTCCGCCCGCGGCCTCGGACTTGCCGGCGCCTGCCGGGGCGTTGGCGGGCGGCCCCGGGGGCGGCTGCGTGGTGGTCGGGGTGGCCGAGGTGAGAAACTGGCGGTGCTGCTGCCTCGGCAGCACCTGTTGGTGCCGGAGCCTCGTGCTGGTGTGCGTGCTGGCCGCCCTGTGCTTCGCTTCCCTGGCCCTGGTCCGCCGCTACCTGCAGCACCTCCTGCTCTGGGTGGAGAGCCTCGACTCACTGCTCGGTGTCCTGCTCTTCGTCGTGGGCTTCATCGTGGTCTCCTTCCCTTGTGGCTGGGGTTACATCGTGCTCAATGTGGCAGCCGGCTACCTGTATGGCTTCGTGTTAGGCATGGGGCTCATGGTAGTGGGCGTCCTCATCGGAACCTTCATCGCTCATGTGGTTTGCAAGCGGCTACTCACCGCCTGGGTGGCCGCCAGGATCCAGAGCAGCGACAAGCTGAGCGCCGTTATCCGCGTGGTGGAGGGAGGAAGCGGCCTGAAGGTGGTGGCGCTGGCCCGGCTGACTCCCATACCTTTTGGGCTTCAGAATGCAGTGTTTTCGGTAAGTGGGATCCCTCTGGCCTGCCCCTCTCCCGAAATCTGCCTTTTACTGGCTTTTGTGACCACCCTGGGAGGCGCTCCGTCAGATATATACCCAGCAGAGGAGTAATTATCATTTTTTTTTGGTACCCTGAGAAATGTTTCCTACAAATGCTTGTAACATAGCTCCTTGGAAGACCCGATAAAGAACTGTCTCTCTGGGCGCGTGTGTTTGTGTATGAGTTTGATAAATGAGGTATCCTTTAAACTTGGGTGTTCCGTTGCCTTTGCACATCTGAAGCAGCTTTGGCAGCTCTTGGGCAATAAGGCTTTATCGCTTGACCTCCCTAGTTTACTCTCTGCCCTGCATAAATGCATCCGGGTTTGATTCAGGTTGGTTACATGGGACTGAGGACCGCTTTTTCTTTTTCTTTTTTTTTTTTTTAACAGTGGAGAGACAGAAGTAGACTACAGTTTTTGAAGTTTTCCTAGATTTGTAATTTGCTGTAATACTATGTAAAAGCTGAGAATCCTGTTTGTCTTTCTTTAGAATTGTATTTTGAAATCATTTGGGTGGTTAATAAAACAAAATGAACATCCACTTTTCTTACTCCATCTAAAGACTCTTGCCCTTGGGTTTATACGTTCTGCTTATTCCGTGTAGGTTTCCATAGCTACTACACACCTGGTGTAAGGTAGAAACACTGCTGGTGAGATAGTGGCCACTTGATGGGAAACTTTATGGCTTAGAACAAATTATTAAACCTGTCTGACTTTGTTTTGTCTTGAGACAACTCTAGCTCAGGCTGGCCTCAGACTAGCTGTGATTCTCCTGCCTCCACCTCCTTAGTTGAGGACATCTGGAGTAGAAGTGTGAATCCCCGTATCCAACTTTGACTTACTTTTACATAAAGGGACTGAATAGCTGACTTTCCCATATTTGGTGATTCTGAGCTAGAGTTCACGCCTGAGATTCCCAGGTACTCAACCCGTCAACTAAAAGGGAACTGCATGGAATATTGAGATCCAGTAGAGACTTGGCCTCTGCCTTTCAACTTTTACCATTCCACATTGTGAAATTTGAACATAAATTTTCATCAGCCTTATTATACATCAGTGGTACCAAGACTTTGAGAGCTGACTGGGGCTCAGGTTGGTGTATAGCTTCGTTCTGATAGTTTGCTCTATGTCCAGCACACCCTGCATCTTCCTTATCTACACAGAATGTGCTGCTAGTCTAGGCTCTTTCTAGTATCTATCCTCAGCTGGCAGAAGTGACTGTACACATCTACTTTTGTTGCCTACAACAGATGAGAACTGGGCTGGTATTCTGAAGTACCGCTGTCTTGTCTGCTGACCTTGTGTTCTTTTCTTTCTGTACCTTCATCTCTGTCTGTAAATTGGACCATGTGTGATAGATGACTGGGATTGCATAAGATTAGTATATGCAACAGAGCTGGCTTGCAAACACAAGCTGCATTTTGTCTACTGTTTGCTCTTTCTGCTCTTTCTGCCTGCTCACCTGGCAGCTAGTGATGGAGTCAAACTTGGAACTATGACCTAGATAGAGTCTCAACTTGTAGCCCTCTCTGTTTTTCTAGGGAATATGTAGCCCATAGTAAAGTCATGGCCATTGAGGAAGATACTTTGCTTTTTCCCTCCTAATGTCTCTTGCAGAAATTTGTAAGAAGTACTTTACTATTGGAAATAGTTTAAAATTACTTAATATGTACTTTTGGCATTACTGGATCAGGAGAAAAAGAAGACAAATTTCTATTAAAGAGGGCATTGGTGCCAATTAAAAAGAAAGAAAGGAAGGAAAGAAAGAAAGGAAGGAAGAAAGAGAGAGAGAAATAAAATCTCCCTTATCCTGAAACTTGTAGAGTCACTGCCAGAGCTAGAGCTTCAGTTTAAATGCAATCAGCTGTTGCGATGTTATAAAATTCTCAAACACAAACAAGTCTGGAAGCCACTACACAAGGTCTGTCAGTCTGCACCGTCTAAGCTGGTTTCTAGGGGGAGAGACCTTTTGTGGTGTTTGCTCAGAAATACAAAGGTAGGGTGATGTTGGCTTTAACCCCATTTTCCCTTTTGCCTTCTGGAACGCCATTCCGCCTCCACCCTCTTGGCCCCATACCCATCATATCTACCCAGGCATACTTTTGTTTTCTGCTTTTCTCCTTATGGAGCCTTATGGGAAGTACCCCTCCCCACTCCAGTTGAGGCTATCTTCTCATTTACTCAATGACCATGAATAAAATAGCTCAAAGAGGAAGTTAGATTTAAAGGTCATGCAAAGCACAGGTTTTGAAAATAGTCTTCGCTTGGTTCCTGCTGTGTAAACTCCATGCTTCCTGGTTTATAACATGCTACAGTCTTTAGTGTCAATTAAGCCATGCTTTGGAGGCGTTATTTTACCTGACCCATGCTATTGTTGGTGCTCAAGGTAGTTATATTATAGAGGCAGAAGCCAGTTGTAAAAATTGAGTATGTGAAATACGAAAAGGGTCTCCCTTTGCTTCCAGTTATTTACCATAATTCTTTAATTCTCCTCATGTGCTATAAAGAGATGAGCAAGTGACACACAACATTTGACATTCATAATTCTAGCACCTTATAGTATTGGTGCTTAAGCTATAAGAAATAGAATTCTTCAAGTCTGTATTTACATTTCCTTTCCCTCATTTCTTCTTGGAAACAGTTGAAATATCTCCCTCCTCACAGCCTCTTTGGTGAAATCTTGTATCTGCAGGTCTCTCTGCACTTAACAGTTTGCCTGTTGCTAAGTACGGTTCCTGACTGGACACACATCTGAGATGACTGTATGCTTTTCTTACTAGATGGTTCATGGTAGGCTAATTAGACTGCAGTGACAACCTCCATTTCTCAGTAGGCTAAGAGCAAAGGTTCACTTCTTCTGCTTTATACAGGTGTAGATCGAACTTCTTTTTGGGGTGGGGGGCCCACAACCTTACGTTGTTTTGATTTGGGGGTTTGGTCTGCAAAGCCATTACCTTGCCCTTGGTTGCTGTCAATATGGAACTGCATTTGTACTTTAAAGTGTCTCTTGTAGTAGATCTTTCTTTTTCCTAGACTGAACAAGTTGCATTGTCATGGACATGAGCAAGTTGCCTGTCACATTGCTTGAGTTCCCATACCCAGCTTTGACTTGACTTTTAAAGGGACTGGGTGGCTGAGTTTGCAAAGTCTGATTCTAAACTAGAATTCACATTGAGATTCCCAGATACTCAGCCCTTCAGTGTGAACTAGGAGCTCAAATTTTGACCAGCCTTATGATAGCAGTACCAGGACTTTGAAAATGACCAAGTCCAAATACAAGCTGTATTGCCTTGCATGCGGTTGCTGAGAATAGTGAATTAATTCTGGGCGTCCAAGTGTCCATTGTAGCAGATCCCATTTCCCTGACCTAAACTCATAACTAACCTCACAGGAGTGACGGATGTGGTGGCAGGAGACAGCAGTGGAACACCGAGTGAAGTCTTAATGCCTCTGCTACATGGCACACCTTCCATATCCCCAGGCATGATTGTCTAAGTCCTGTGGGTTTTGCCTCCTGATGCTTCAGTCCGACCTCTGCTCTGATTCAGAAGCCTCTACCTCAACCAGGTGTTCCTGCTTCAGGCTTACACTCTCTTATCTTTATCTGAAAAATAACTGCAGTACAAATGTGATGTGGTTATTGCTATCTGTGAATTCCTCAATAAGTTTCCTTTTCTCCGAGGATGAATTCGATCTACCTTTGGACTAAGTCCTCTCTTTACTGTCTATAGTTGGTTAGTTGCTATGCACCTTTTGATGTTTTTGTTTATTTAATCCTTGGCACCTGTAGGCACTGTTTGAATTTAGCTAGTGAAATCCTACCTCTACTAGAAACATCAGGTTTTACTTTGCTCAGTTTCCAGTCGAAAGGAACTCAGATCAATAAAGAGGGACTGTTGCTAATAGGTATAGGAGAGAAAGGCACTGTTGCTAATAAGTATAGAAGACAACATTCTTAAGGAGTAAAATCTAGAAGAAATGCTTTGAAAAATCTGTTCTGTCCCACCCCGTAGTTAATAAACATTGAACTATCTTCGCAATATCCATTCTGTGAGACCTGCATTTCAAGGTTACTTTCAATAAAAGGTGTTCTTGATCCCAAAAGACTCCACAATCATGGGTTGTATGAGTAATGAAATCCATAATAGTATTTCCAAACTGAAGGGGCCTGATGTACAACTGTGTCATTGGAGTTCCTAAAAAACATTTCTACTTCAGTTAGAGAAAGAATACAAAGTCAAAAAGTCCTGTAAGACTCCTTCTCTCAAGCAAAGGTGCATGGGACATTTGTTTTCATTAACCTTAAATAGTAAAATAAACTGTAGTATACAGGATTGTCTTGCATTCTGTGTGCCACTTCCATATGAGAGCAGGTTTACAAACACGATATCCCTTAGTTTTCCGTCACAGCAGTTGTTAGAGTCATGTCAACCTTAAGAGGTAGGGTTTCATAAAGGACAAATGTCACAATCTTAAATCAGACTCGACTCTGACATACACTCAGTCATCCTGAGGAAGTTATAGTTACTCTTTTGAGACCTAGTGTTGTAAATCATGTTTAATAATATCTGCTACAAAGCTGTGATGTGTTACGGTTTGCTCATTATTTGCTGTTTTTTTCCTACTCTCCATATTCCAAAATTAGGACATAGAGCTTATTTGTAAACTTTTAGCAATTTCTCCATTGTCTATATGCAATACTGGGCACCATTTTCTCATGTACACATTACTTTTTTCATATTCACATTAATCTTTATCTTAGAGTTGAGACCATTGAAGCACAAAGTGGTAAAATAACTTGCCCCTAGCTAGTGCCTGGTTCAGCGGTGCAACAAGAACTGGCTTTCTCAGAGGTCTGCTCTCTTTATGAACCCTGCATAGCAAGCATCTTGGACCTACTACCTGTCAGATGTTGTACAGGGTCTGCTAGCTGTCAGACCAAGGGTCAGCAAACTATATCAC